TAACAGTTCACTGATGCAGGAGGAAGACAGAACCGTGAAAAAAAATTGAAGTGGAGTCTTACCTAACCCCAGTGTTATATTATCTTTGTTTCTTTTGCAAACCTAACCATCCTCTTTCTGCGTAGGGCTTTGAGTCAGAATTATCTGCGACTCCCTCACATGCAGCTGCTGGCACCTTCGGGATGCTCCTTCTACTTCTTTCGGGGAGAATCCGCTTGGCCTCTTCCCCAGCCGTGGGGGAAATACCATGTATTTTATCTTTTATTCATCCATTGTAAAATAATTTTTAAGTAAAATTAGCTTATTGTCACTTTATTGATAGGAAAAAATAGGCAAAGAAGGAATATATAACCCTAATGCTTCAATTACCAACTCTTTTCATTCCTTGAGGCTGCAGATACTTTAATCCACAGGGACAATTTGGTCCTTACATTTTTCATAGGATGTTTCATTGCCCAAAACTTTAAACAAAGGAAAAAAATCAATCACGTTGGCCTAGTTCTGGTTTTGATGGGCAGGAAATTCAGTTTACAAAACAGGACAAAAATGTTGTTCCACAGGTTTCCTCCATCTAGCAGGAAACAAGCACTGATGCAAACACAAAACAGGCGATAGGGGACCCCATGACCTTTGGGAGGAATTCTTTCTTCCAGACCAATGGGAGTCGCTATTTTATCCGCTTGCATCAAACGTCTCTGAAGGGTCCAGTTAGAGTCGCCTGAAAGGGATCTCTTAAAAGGAAAGAAGATAAAATGCACGTAGTGAGGGACAGAGTGAAGATGCAAAGTGGAGTCACTATGGTCCAGCTGCTAAATCGTTAAAATCAAGTAGGCTGAGGCTTGAAAAACAATTCTGCTCTTGCTGTAACTAGCCTGGGACCTTAAGCCTTTGAACCGTCCAGCTGTGGCTGAAATATACACGTATAAATGCTATAAGATAACCCTTTAACAGGCCCTGAAGGATTTAAGAAATAATGTTTACTTGACCAGACCACCTGGCACCCAGCCTCCAGACCAGCTGGCATCTGTCATCCAGACTGGCACCCATCCGGACTACCTGACATTTGGCTGGTAACTGTCCTGGACCAATACAAGGGCCAAGAATGCAAGAATGATTATTCGCAAGGATGTGACTTTTACGATAAGAACTCTTAGCTTTTCTTTTTCTTCGGAACAGTTCTAGGTTTTACCGAGCTGTGTATAGAGTTGGCGAACTCTAAGACCCTTGAATAAATATCATTTTTTTCTACTAAAGCCTCCTGTTTCATTTATGCTCGGTCAACATGAGACAATAAGAGGAACAAGTAATAATTCTGATAAAAGCATCCCCCAGAAGGTGTTGACCAGTATCTGCATGAACAGTTTCCCTGATGGAATTCTCACTACTTCAACCAGGCAATCTCTTCCTTTTTAGGTAGCTCTTACTGTTTCAAGTTTTTCCTGAGATTCACCTCTGAAAACAATAAAACAATTCCAAGCCTTCCCCTCCGTGACAGCTGCAATACCATTTAAAACCTTTCAGATCTCCTAAGACCTCCATGACACCTTCCTCCCCCCAAATCGTCTCTCAACGTCTCCCGTTGGAAACCTTCCAGACTTTCTCCATTTAGCTTCCTAGGGACGTGCTCAACTTGCTAGAGTGACAAAGCCAAGGGCTGTGGCCCCCTTTTCTCACAGTACTTCTATAAACATATAAGAATATTGGTGCTATGGTCTGCTGTTATCCCCCTAAAATTCATATGTTGAATCCTCACTCCCAAAGGTGATGGGAAGTGCTTAGGTCCTGAGGCTGGAGCCTTCATAAATAGGATTAGATTTCTCAGAAAGAGGCTCCAGAGACACCCCTTGCCCCTTCCACCATATGAGGACACAGCGAGGAGGTGCTGGCTATGAGCCAGGAAGAGGCCTTCGCCAGAATGCAGCTCTGCTGGCAATTTGACCTTGGGCTGCCTAGTCTCCAGAAATGTGAGAAATTTCTGTGGTTTATAAGCTACTCGGTCTGTGGTATTTTGTTATAACAACCCAAAGGGGCTAAGACAATTGGATCACTTATTTACCTGCCAACCATATCACAACACTATTGGCTCATAATGAACTTGAAGTCAAGTAAAATTCCTTAAGTCTTTTTTACTTAAACTGCTCATAGGCCACATTTCCCCCCTTATTACCCTTGGGCGATTGACTTTGTGAACTAAAGAACAAGACTTTACATTCCCCCCAATGTTTCACCCCTAGTCACTCTGTAATCTGCTCAGTCTTTTATAACTGCACCCCATAACATGGGTTCATCTGCAAATGTGATCACTCATACTTTCTATGACTTAATTCAGGTGGGCAAAAATGCTACGATGGCCAGAACAAAATACGGAGCCCTTGGGCTCACCACGAAAGACCCACTCACCATTTTACGAGGCTTCACCAACTATAAAACACCTAAAAAAGTTATTTCATTTAATTCTTACAGCACTCCTATCATCATTCTACATGTGAGGGCAAAGACTCAGAAGGACTATCAGAAGGAATTGCCTGATGTGACACAGCTAATAAACGGCAAAATAGGAAACGAGCCTTCCAGCTGGGCTGCCTCAGTGGGTTGAGCACCGTCCTGTGCACCAAAAGGCTGCCAGTTCCCTTCCCGGTCAGGGCACATACCTGGGTGGCGGGTTTCTCTCTCACATCGATGTGTCCCTCTCTCTCTCTCTCTCTCTTTTCCCCTCTTCTCTCCCTCTTCCTCTCTCTAAGCATGTCCTTGGGTAAGGACAGAAAAAAGAAAGAAAAAAACAAGCTTTAGGGTTTCTTACTGTTTCCAGTGCTTTTTCAAAGACAGATTTTCAAATACAGTGATTAAATAAATATGTAACCTATTTTTCCTTTTTTTCCCCCCCCAAGGGTACCAACAGAGACTAATTAAAAACAAGAAACATTTTCTACAAATGAAATATTATCCAGAAACCCAGTATATGAAACCGATTAAAAGCAGTTTGCTCTGATAGAAGCAAGATGGGGGACACTTAGCCTGTCTCTCTGTCTCACCTGGGGCGCCTCCTCAGCCTTGCCCTGGATGGTAATGAGGCACCTTATAGTCCTTAGAGTGCATTGGGAAGTCACTAGCCAATGGCATGTCCTCAAAATGTAACCCTTCTCTAAAAATAATTTTTAAAATAAAGCTCTGTTGCCATGCCCTGTTATATAATACATTGTAACATTTTGCCGGAGAACACCCATCTAAGAGGTTCAATAAACTTTTACAAGGAACAGAAATATTTTAAAATTTGAAGGCATCTTTGGGTTGATTCAAATGTTTGTTTCACAGATGAAGAAACAGCAACGCAGAGAGAAGTAACCCAAGATCATTCTGCAGAGGAGCAAGGACAAGGACCCTCCCTGTTCAAACCTGGACCCTCCCAGGCAGGTAAAATCTCACTGCTACACATCTGATTCTTTTGATTACAAGATAACATCTTCAACAAGATGAAGCTTCTGGTTCTCACTTAAGAAACTAACGAACACATATTATATAATGATACTGTAATGGCATTTAAGAGACACAAAGGAGTAAAATGTGGCAATTGGGTTTAGTCATGAGGCCTTGAAACATGGGTTCTTAGCTTATAGGCATTATTCAGGCTCCTTTGAAGTCCATGCAGAAAACTGTTTATGCAAAATATGCAAACATTGCAAGGAGGTCACAGATGTCCCCCACCCCCCAAGTTTTGGCCTCCAGGGTAAGAAGCTCTGGCCGATTCCAGTACAAGTGGCAGCGTCAGGCTTGCATAGCACCAGCTACTATCTTATTTATGGCTCTGTTGGTTCAAGGCTGCTTCTGTTTCGGCATCCTTCATCTTTTATTCAAATGGAGCAGCACCTTATTCTGGAAGGCGTTTGATGCCAGAGAGGAGTAATGTTTTAATAAGTTATTAGTTAACCAGATGGGACCAATTAAGAGAGAAATATAATAAAATGAAAACATTTTCTTTCAAAAATGTTAACAATAAAAGTGAGGATGGTCAGTGTTTGTAATAGGAATTCATTTTCTTTGTTTCTTTTACTTTTAAGTGGGAAAAGAAACCCCCAAAACTAGATCACTGCTAGCTGCCTACCCACTTTTATTAAATCTATAGCCAAAAGAGTAGTGGGTGTGGACCAAAAGAAATAGATTTATCTTCTGAATGATTGTTTCTTAATCCTTCCCTTTTGCTACAAGAGATTTATGGTTCTGAAATAGTTGGCAACAATTTCTTCATTTCAAAATAGTTTTGGCAGCTCCAATATTACTTTAAAGTTACTGATAACAAGGCTTGATTTTACTAATTCAAAAAATACTTGTTGAACACACAGCGTTTGGACAGCACTGCTCTAGGGGGCAGTCTGGTGTGACAGACCATTCTGGGGCGAGGGGACCCAGGACAGAATCCCAGTGTTGTTTCCTCCTTGGCTTTGACAATAAGTAAGGTATGAAAACTTAATGAGCCTCAGTTTCCTAATCCTTGAAATGAGGTCATTTATATTTTATCTCCTTTATGACAGCCATGCCAGAGCTGAATAAACATTTTGAAGAGTAATCTCTCTAAAAATGACTTATAATTTAATAACTGGTAAAGTTCACATGTTCTGCCTCAGAAATGATCTCGCTGTCCTTTATTCTGTGCCTGGCACTCGTGGCCTGAGCAATAGTCCATTAGCATAGCGTGTGGTAATCACAACACTTAGCATTCATTTCGCCCTTCCTATGCATTCTTCTAAATACTTTACACTTTTCAATCTTCCCAGAAATCACATGACGTTCTATTATCATTTTGATTTTCCAGTTGAGGAAATTGAGTCCAAACTGTTAAGAACTTAGCCAGGGTCAAACCCAGACAGAATCCGGAGCCAGAGCTTGTTAACTACTCTCCAGGCTGCCTCTTGCCAGGATTCTCACCCAGCTCCCTATGTGTTAACCAGGGGGAGAATTAGGCAAAGGGGTTCAAATACCTGGTGACAGATGGAAACTAAACTTTTGCTGGTGAGCATGCAATAGAGTGTACAGACATGAAATTATAATGTTGTATACCTGAAATTTTTGTAATGTTATTAACCAATGGTATTTCAATAAATAGAATTAATTTAAAAAATGGGAATCATTTAAGCTAAGCACCTGCCACAGTGGTACTTAAAAAATACTGTTTCTGTTCCCTGAAGTGTCCTACGTTATAAGATTCTAGTGTTTTTAAGGAAGAGATCTGAATTAGTTTCCTAGGGTGGTACTTTGCTGTAACAAAGTACCACCTCGTTGGTGACTGGAAATGAGAAATGTATTCTCTCATAGTTCTGGAGGCTAGAAGTCTGAAAGTAAGATGCCAGCAGGCCTGCACTCCCTCCAAAGGCTCCAGGGGGGGAATCTCCCTTGGCTGCTTCTGCTTCTGGTGGCTCTGGGGTTCCTTGGCTCATGGCTACGTAACTCCCATCTCTGCCTCCCTGTTTGCATGGCCCGTTCCTCTGTGTCTCTCTTCTGAGAACAGTTGTCATTGGATTTTGGACTGACCTGAGTAATGCAGGATGACCTCTTGCTGAGATCTGTAACTTAATTACATCCACAAAGACCCTTTCCCCAGATACAGTAAGATCACATTCGCAGGCTCCAGATGCAGACGTGTCTTGGGGTGGAGGGCCACCATTCAACCTACCACAATATCTTCATCCCCATATTTTTATGTCTTGGGATATTCCCTCTGGTATTCTTGACAGACAAGCCCACCCTCATTCAAAGAGGGAGAAGAACATTGCATCTCACCCAGTTTAGGCCTGTAGTTCTATTGGCTACAAAATCTGTGGGTTGAAAATATTTTCCTTAATATGCCCAGTGGTCATGAGCCTTCCCCACGTTCACTTGAGAATCAGGACTTTCTAGGAAACAAAGAGTTGTTACCCACTTAAAGGAACGCACTTGGAGTGCAGCCCTTCTCCCCTTTCGCTGCAAGTGCACCCCAAGCCCTGCCGTGGGGGAATGGGGGGGCAAAACCACCAGGAAGCAACAGGGCCACTCTGGTCTTCTTGGGGGACTGAGAAATGCACGGGGCTAACCTGTCAGTCAGCTCTTCCCTTTCTGTGCAGCTCACCGGTTAAGCAGCTCACTTCTAGGCACAAGATTACAAAATGTAATTAGAGTACACCGTTTGATCGCCTAAAAAGCAAGTTTTGCCACAACTGTATGAACTCCAGCCTCTCCCTGCTCTCCTCCCTCCTCCCTCCCCACCTGCCACCCCACTCCCGGTCCCTCCAGAGCCTGGCTGGCCTGCCCCCCCAACCAACCGAGGGGGGCGATGGCCTCGGTCTGGGGGCGGCAGAGCAGGGCGGACCCTCAGAGCAAGCCCAGCTCTCCACTCACTTTCCTAAAATCAGTGGAAACTAAGGTACAGAAGCAGGTCTTCTGGGGCCGTGAGAAAGCAACAGGCTACGTTACTATTGTCCCAAAAGTCACGCCCTTGAAAGAGCAACGCTGCTTGTCACCAAACCAGGAAAACCACCCGCTCAGGGCTAGAGGCTCTCAGACTGGACTGAGAAACAGAGACGACGCCAGGAAAGTGAGGGAAGGAAGGGGAGGGGAAGGCAGACAGACAGCAGGAAAGCGAACAAGCAAAACGTTTAGGAGTTCATTTACTCGGCTACCAAAAAAGCTACGAAGAAAACGGAAAATTAGTATAAGAAAATCCTATTGGAAGAGTTCTGGTTGACCAGCTGCCTACGGGGCCAGGTTCCCTTGGCAGGGCCCTGGCAATGGGCTCAGCAGGTACACTTTTGACCTGTCAGTGCTGCAGGAGGTCACCTTGGTCGCCCCACCCCACCCGTCTGTCAAATAGAGTGGCCATAGGTAGGGATGATATAAAAGCTTAATTTTTCATGGTCTGGCTTCCAGCTGCCAAGCAAACCGAGTCCTTAGAAACATCCAGGAAGCAATAGTTCCCTCACCAAGCTGTGGGTTTGATGGCCAGGAGCTG